GTAACGCTGTTGCGTATAAAAGCAAAGGACAGAATAATGAATGCATGTGATTTCACCCTTCACCAACAGATGTCGCTAGTACCTACACATTTTGTTGATTTGTGACTCGCGAATAAGTAATGTTTGTGTGGTATTTTTGCAATTTTATTTTATGCACTTAGTCGTATTTCTTTAATTCTGCTATTTATTTATTGTGTATTGTAAAAAAATATGTAGAGGCTTACGTCAAATAAAATTTTGATCTTTTGTTAATTATGGGACAAACTAACTAGGTACCTACTTGAAATAATTCAGATATTTTAATATGTGCCAAACCGTATTATTTAGACAGCCTCTTTGTTTCAGTTACTCAACATGTCAAGGAATCCAGGTGACACCTGAAATACAAAGTTGTTAAGAAAATATTTTGCGATCGGTAAATTGGCCGGCCATTGGCGACGTGACGTAACTCCCCGTCCGGTCGTTAATGAGCACATTCATTCGCTAGTTCTTTTTGTTTTAATAGATTTTCTTTTATTTTATTTTTATTTTTTTATTTTATCTACAACGAGGAAGCTCTTGGAAGCCAGGTGGACTAAGAACAAGCCCTACCACCAACCAAACCGAACAGAAAAATTTGCTCTCACTGGGAATCGCACCCGGGACCTCTGCGTCTGAGGCAGGTGGTCTTACCACTAGACCACAGAGGCGGTAAATATAAAGAGATAAATTATAAATAAAAAAAAACTATGTTCATCAGAAAAAAATAGGATTCTAATGGTGAAAGAATTCAAATCGGTCCAGTAGAATTTGAGTTTATCCTCTTTAATAATATTAGTGTGATTAGGTACTTATTGGTTGTTTTTAGGCTATATTTATGAAACCTTCACTGAAAGTGATAAGGGTTCACCGAATATTGTAATCGTAACTTTGTCCTGTCTTCATGCATGACAAATGTGTCTAGTTTACTTGATTTATACACTAGTCCCTTCCGGTACGTCCTTGACGAATAGCAAGTAGGCAACCTACCCTTTGGACCTATGTCACTTTGTGCTAAACTGTGCTAAAGTTGTTTAGATTAGTTTGGTTGATTTTATACATGTAGAGTCGAAATTGCCAAACAAAACAATATGGATAGGAGAATCATAGGAATTTCCAATCGATTTTGTTATTATATCTGGATAATAATGATTCGACAGTTATTTGTAAATCTTTCACATTCTTGATGAGGTAAAAAATGTTCAAATCACTTGAAAGAAAAACAAAAAATGTTAAAATAGAACCATGTGTTATTAATGAGTTACGAGAACAATAATCTGTTTTTGCATAAATAAAACTAATGAGACTAACTTTTGCTTTAGTTGGCGTTATTTATGTAGGACTAGGTATAACATTGCTTCTATACTTTTCATAATTTAATATTACATAATCTTGTCAAATATCATAACATTGCTTGCACACAGCCTTACTTATTTGGTAAGAAAAACAATGAATTCTATTTGCGTCAAATCTACAACAAAGCACGCAACTCTACTCTTCTGACGACAATACCTACCTATCTAACAGAAAAAAGAAAACTGTTAAAATTAAAACACCTGTTTTAATTATTTTAAAACTTTTATGTAGATACAATTCTAACATTAGAATACCATTAAAAATTATTACCTCCCATTATAGAAAATGGAAGGCTCTATTACTATTTGTTTGTTCGCCCAAAGTCCCGAAGGTCCATAATTCATTGTCATAAAAATCGACGCGCAACCCACGCGTGCGCGGCGACCGGTGCGAAGTTGGCGCGGGCGGGCCGAGCGCCGGCGGAGCCGCCCGACCACGCCCGATCCGCTCTCAGTGGGACGCGCGTTCGCTCACTCTACACATTATTGACCATTTCCTGCGACATTCCCACAAAAACAATATTACCTGCCGATAGAACTGCCCCAAAACCTTTACAATAAGTGACAATACAGTGATTAGTGACAAATACATAAATATTAAGTACTGTTATAACGTAGTTGTGTAATGGAAACGCTTCGAGTCTCGTTAGCAGCGGCTAATCGAGCTAATTAGCAAAATCCCTGTGTTCGAGTCGCGAGTTACATTCAGCCAAGCTGTTGGCGCGCGTAAACTAAATCGAAGTTTAAGTGTCAAAGAGTAAAATGCCATCTTCAGTGCAAGAGAATATTGCTCTGCTCAACATGATGTCGTCGGATAATCTGGAAGACGATCTAAAGAGTGTTCAGCTACATTATCCATCTGACAGACGATTGCAAGCCGACAGCGCATGCGTGGAGGAGAGGGTGAGGACTTCCCTGGGGGACATTGTGGTAGCGGTCAGAGGCGATCGCAACAAGCGAGCCATAATTACTTACCACGACCTTGGTGTCAACTATGCTGCCAACTTTCAGGCTTTCTTCAACTTTACTGATATGAGACCTATTTTGGAGCAATTTTGCATTTACCATATTAATGCACCGGGTCAGGAGGAAGGAGCCCATTACTTACCCGAAGATTACACATACCCAAGCATGGACGCTTTGGCCTCCCAAATAGATTTTGTTCTGGGTCATTTTGGTATACGATCATTCATAGGCTTCGGGGTGGGTGCAGGTGCAAATATTTTGGCGCGATACGCGATTGCTAATCCACAAAAGGTGGATGCTTTGGTTTTGATCAACTGCACCTCTACCCAAGCTGGCTGGACTGAATGGCTCTACCAAAAGATAAATACAAGACAACTCCGTTCGAGCGGAATGACTCAAGGAGCGTTGGATTATTTGATGTGGCATCACTTCGGTCGCAGCACCGAGGACCGTAACCATGACCTTGCTCACATGTTCAAACAATATTTCTCTCACGTGAACGCGATCAATTTGTCAATGTTCATAGAGTCCTATTTGCGGCGCACCGACTTAGCAATAGCTAGAGAGAGTAACACTATAAAGGTGCCAGTTTTGAATGTCACCGGCGCTCTATCACCTCATGTTGATGATACCATAACCTTTAACGGGAGGCTGGACCCTGCCAAGACTTCGTGGCTGAGCATCTCCGACTGCGGCATGGTTCTTGAGGAGGAACCGGCGAAAATGGCTGAAGCCTTCAAACTATTTTTGCAAGGCGAGGGATACTGCAGGTAGTCATGCTGCCCCCATGTAAAGAGAATGCAGCGCTGAAACAATAGATTGCACTTGATGCTTACACGCGAGCTTTAACGACACTGTTGTAGTCACATGATGATGTAGAGACGAAGTTGTTGTTGTTCTTTGTTTCTAGATATTTATCTGAATAAAATTTAATTTTATGGCTTACGATTGTTAGTTATTTATCCCTGAGTATATAAATATAATGGACTCAGCCTGATACATTCAAAGGCCGCATAGCCGTCGCGCGGTTGTAGTTCGCTTACTTTACTGGAATACAACAAAGAAGCTGTACTTAGTGCCAGGCTCGAATTCCTCCGAAATCCAATGCTGGATTTACATAATATATCTGTACATATTATTTTCCTTATATCTGTTACCAAATCGCCATAATATTACAAGCTCAGTTTAATTAATGATATTGTTAAAACAATTTGTTCTTATTACCACACATTAACTGTGTATGGAAACCACTGCCCAAACCTAAATATTTGCTCACCCACACATTCTACAGCGGAGTTTTGAGAAACAATGAGTGAGGGTTGATTTCCATATTCCATTAAACCAAATTTAAAGCTGCAATAATCCAAATTGAATTTTGAGGGCGTAAAATTATGAGCCGCTTCCAATTAGAACGAGTTAAAGGGCTCTTAAAATGATTTTGCCGATGTTGAACCAATATGATACAGTGGAAAATAAACAGTGACCTAATTACGTATTGTTATACAGAGCCCATCACACTATAAAATGTTGTGGGAAAATCGCATCTATTTGAACTGCATAAAAGATTCCTTGTGTTTTAGCTTTGCCTTATCCCTACAATGGATTGGGCCCATTGATGAAGTTAGTTGGGAATGTTCTAGATGTTTTTTCAATAAAGCTCTGCAAAATAGAACTCGCAAAGCAGTTATTGCAAATTCAAAACTGCTTGCCAACTCAAGTACTGTTTAAAATTTAATTTTGTGCGCGTGTGAGAACGTAAATTATGTAGTCGGATTTTTGAGCTCAGCATTGTTCGTAAAGAAGCATAACTATTTTAGTGCTCAAGCATGTACCTAACATGCATGAGTAACGCGTAATGTAATCTATCTTATTATGTAATGCGAATCCTGCAAGTGGACAGTACTACAAGCATAATATAAAGTGCGCCCATACTAAGTAGGGTAAATCGACTAGTTACNTGTTTGGGAAGAATAAAGGACCCAAGGTGACAAAACGTACGTCACCCACTTCGAAGCGTCTTCGAGCCGCTAATCCCAAGCTACCTTTTCCCGAGACCGGATGTAGTAGTTGGTATCCTGGAGCATTTATAATGCAGGGGGAGGGCCCTTACCAACGACCCGACGCACGTTGTCGTTCATACTTCACGGACAAAGGTGAACATGATTCCGGGTTTGTCAAGGTCAACCTGCCCTCCAGGTGTAGGTGCACCTCCGGGGAAACCATCCGGCGTTCCGTTTAGGGGGAGGGGTTAGTTAGTATAATTATGTACTCTAATTGTAAGATATCCGGTATTCGGTAAGTTTCCGCTGACGAAGGTCGTCATTCTGCGCATTATTACTCCACTGGCGATGACGAATGACAGAACCTGCGGCGGAGCACCGATGTCTATACCGTGAGTAATACACCGGCTTTACCGAGTGAGTGAAGCCTGGACTACTTAGGCTTAACAACTACAAAACAGTAGGGATTCTAGGGAACCCACGCCTCTCAGTTGACCCCAATCGTAGGTGATGTTCGGTACCACCAGCACGATTCAACATTTTCCTGACCTTGACGCGAGGGCGCTACGTCTTGGTCAGAGGGGGAGGTTGTAACNAACCTTATGACTTTATGAAGTACAATTAAACACTTTTTGAATGTACATTTTTATTTAATTCAAAAACATACGAATATTGCTAGTTATTGGCCATGAAATTCTGTAACTGGCCATATGCATGCTAGTTACTGGCCACAGAAAAAAATAATATATTACAGCTAAAGAAATCAATATAACATGAAAAACAGAACGTCATCTAAAACTATATGAGATCAGTCGTGAAACAATATAATTTACTCATAGACAAAGTGAATATTTCAAACCTAGGAGCTATAGTTTCAATATAAGTCTCAAATAAACAAATAAAAACAAAACTATCTAATTAAACCCTTGTTTTTTGGATTCTTTATAGACAGCAGCAAATAAATAATCCACTTTATCATCAGATGAATCAGTGTTACTCTCTCTTTATCATCATAAATGACACAAAAAGGAATCGTCATCCTGTTCTGGTACATACACTCTATGAGCAATTGGAATACAATTCAAATTATACTTTTCTTGACATTGATTACATTCTATAATTCTCTTTTTGATAGGGCACAAGCAAAAATATCTACGAGATCGAATCAGAAATGAGGAGATCCTTAAACGAACTAAAGTCGCTGACATAGCAGACAATGGGCAGGGCATATAGTACGCAGAACTGACGGCCGATGGGGCAGCAAGGTTCTGGAGTGGAAGCCACGTACCGGAAAGCGCAGTGTAAGACGTCCACCCAAAAGGTGGACCGATGACCTCATGAAGGTAGTGGGAAGGCGCTGGATGCAGGCCGCCACTAACCGGCCATTGTGGAAATTATTGGGAGAGGCCTATGTTCAGCAGTGGACGTCCTATGGCTGAAATGATGATACGGAAGTAAGCGCAAACGGTAGTCTTTCTATTTGGCGTTTGTCCTGCCTTTTGGGCGAATTCAGTGTTTTTTGGTATTTCTTGGCACATTGAAAATATTTGCTGCTTGTCGAATGGATCCTTCCTTGTTTTCTATAAACTTCAAGGCCTTGTTAAGATCTTCGTGAGAATACTTTTGTCGCTTTGATGCAATCTTGTTTATTTAATGGATGTCTACAAAAAATGGTTAGTTTAGTTATTGACACTTTTTTTTAGTTACTGGCCACCTATGCCAGTAACTGAAATTTATGGATAGAAATAAATGATTTCTAGCCAGTAGATACTAAACTTTAAAAACATTACAAATACGGTGTATTTCCGCAGAAATTCGATGAGCATAGAATAATTTAGTTATTGGCCGGTCTGGCCAATAAACAAAAATAAATACAAATTGTCATTCAGTTACTGGCCACCCCTCAAAACTGAGGTTTTATTAGATTAACTCCAAATACGCTACTGTAATATTGAAACTTACCGTTTAAAAAACACAATAGCACTGCAAACCACTGCAAAACACTGAAAACTACTCCATATTACTATTTTTGAAATAAATCCGTCCGTTAACAAATACACTACATAAATACTTCTCCGAGGGCGTCCGGGTACCAACTGTCAAAAAAATGCCGTTAGAATTGGCAATACGGTCAATAACGGGAAAAAAATGAACTAAAATGAAACCTGATTAATAAAGCAGTTCTTTATAAAAAATACAGATGGCCCGACCTGCCCCGTTTCTTATTTTGTGCCGACAAAGTGCAGTATGGCCAATAACTGACGTTGGCCAATAACTGGGTAGTTTACCCTATACATACATTACGTTACACGTTCCAAAACATGACTTTACTAACCCACAAATACATTATGAATACAAACTCATAAGCCACGTTAGATAATCAAATAGATCGATGGGTAACTAAGTTCAGGCTATTGACTCATAGTATTAGCAAACTATTGATTTATCGTAAGTTAGGTTGTTAAGCAAATTAACATACTGGTTAGCTTTTTGTTTATTTGTGGAGTTTACTCTATAGAGTTACGATGCATACAATTTTTTTACACTAATGGTTCAGTGGTTGTAGAGTTTGACTCAGGAGAGTCAAACTATAAGGAGATCCGGGATTCGAATCCCTGGTTTTCCATGTGGAAAACCGTAGTGTGATTGTTACCAAACAAACAAACTAATAAAGAATAAATATTCACCATCCCTGGAACAATGAAAAAGCGCCGATACCGAAAACAAAGAGGGAATTTACAAAAATAAAAAACATTCGAAGCTATAATTAATTTTCGATTCGCGCTGAAACTCCCGATACGCGTTTTTGTTGGGCAACGTTTTTTCTGGACAAACGTGCATGCGCTGCGCCCGGGGTGGCTAGTTAAATGGACTCGTGTATAAGAGTGGGGATTACCCCCCACCCCACCTCCTCGCTGACCACTGGATGAACGGATCATGAAATATTTCATCGGAAAAGTAAAACAAAACATTCAGAGATTGCGCACTATCCGCGCCAACTTCATTTGAACCTTTCTACGGCTTATTGTTTCCAGTGAAATGGATTAGGTATTTGAATTGGATTTGCGTTTATTTAGACTCAAAGAAAATTGCCTAATATTATTCAGGATGAAAACGTATATACACATATGGTGTCCTTGAAGAGAAGATAATAATTTGCCTAAAAAAAATTTTACCGTAGAAAAACAAGTTCAGGATTATAATTTATGTTACTTAATTACGTTATTATTTTGATGTTATTTACAAATAAGGAAGGTAATATTTGAGTTCTAATGAAAGCAAACTTGTTTGTTTGCTTTATTTTTTACATTTATTTCTATTTACCTAAGTAGGTACTAATATCAATTTCCTTATTGCCTTATTTCAACAACTGCCTTCTTTTTCCACAGTGTTTACTTTGATGTTATGCCACCATTTTATTTAATCAAAATTTGGACTCATTTCACCTAGCTTTAATAACTATTATTGTTTATTATTAGATTGTGTAGACCATTTCTCAAACATGTTTTACTACAGGATTCATGTTAAAACAGTTGATGGTACCCTAAATAACTAATTAGCCTTAATAAGTTGTTATAGTCGCTTTAATTAGCCCGAAAAAGAAGGCATTAAAATACAGACTCTTGGATAAGCAGGTATAGGTTAAGCGACTGGAATCCGCCTGCCCGCTGCGTTCCTGGAATGCCCGATATTGGAATTTGAATGGAATTTTCGACATCAACGTTACTCTTTCACTTTGTCGAAGAAATCCTTTGTTATGTACTGTGCAATACTTTTGCGATATTAAAATGATATAACCTCTCATTGAATATTTGCCATCACAGCTGTGTTATGTAATGTATGTTAGCTCAGTAAAAGTCATCTGCCACAAGGTTGAGATGTGAAAATATGAGTAGGTAGTTTAAAGTTTTCGTATTATGTTTAAGATTTTGATGCGATAATTTCTTGAAGGGAGTTGGAAAAAAAAGATATGTGTGCGATAAATATTTTATTTATTTATTTTACACAAACCTGGTTCTCACATAGATACGTAGTTATTTTATGTACAGGTTACAATCATATTGTCATAAAAACATTCAATAAAAATTGACTAGAGTTTTGATGATATCTACAAAATGTATTTACAAAGGTAAGCTCCCAATTAGAGTAGATATTACATATCAGTCTAACAAGGATATTATTTACATCATTATCTAGAAGGTTCCACGTACAATTGGCTAAAGAGATTTAACTATCATTATTTAAGTTTTCCATAGAAATAAAGTGCGATCTGAAAAGGAAATGTAGAGTCACATACATCTCAACTCCAGGGTGTTCAAGAAAATTGAATAGCATTTTGAATAGCTCACAATGGTCCTATAGAGAAGAAGAAATAATGTGTTCTTATAATAAAAACCATTTTACTTATGTATGTGTTACTCCTTTAAATTTTTATAATGTAGTTAAGTAGATTGTTGCATAAATCATAATGCAACATGACGTACCTAAGTACCTTGGACGTACCGCAGTAGTTTTAAGAATTGAAATCCTCTTTTTGCTGAACACCCTGTAGACATTCAAACCGCAATACATTTTAATAACAATACATACATTTTATGCAGTTAAAACAAAAAATTGATAGATAAAATATTTAATATTTAAAAAAATAAGAAGGATACTTAAATATTCGTAAATTGAGAGATTACAACATGTTATTTTATACGAGAATTTTACTGAAGTGATGAGTCACAATATTTTGTCACAACTCTACATCGATTATGCTATTTCTTATTGTAAAGTACGGAGTAAAATGTTACTGTTATTTTATAGGTAACTTAATCTTAAATGTAAATGGCAGTCAAGTTAATTAGAGTAACACTGATTAAGCTGTGGTAAAATAATTACTTAGGTATATCCTCAAACAATAAGTATTGTTCAACTTATAAATTAGCTATTTTGGCACATTTTATTTGAAAACTGTAACAATAGATAGTCGTAAGTCGAAATGCTCATTATGGAATATACTTACGTGACTATTAATGTTAATTCGATCATTTTTGCCTTTTGCTATTTTTACCCAATTAATTAACACATTCATGTATACCTATACCATAATATGGATTAGTTTTACAGACGCTAATACCATATCAGAATTACACATTTTTGTTGCAGAATCGTATTATTTTATCTATCTCATAAAATGCCACAGTGTTTAAATTGACGTGCCGACGTCTGTTCAAACCAGTTTAATTAATGTCCAGAATGGTATCTGCCTGTTTACCTACTGAGTAAATTAAATAAATCCAGTCTCAGAGATTTTGATTTAAAATGAATAAATAATGGTAGTATTTATCTAATCTTAGCGTTAAAACTTAAAAATAGTTTTACAACTATTTTTTTTCTTGCATAACTCATAACAAACGTACACATACTTAAAACGGCAAATCATAGATTGAACACAAAAATTAATAATTTTCCCAATGGATATTGAACTTTTTATTAGAATACCTAGGTTGATTTATTGAACTTTACGGCACATAAAAAAGGTTCAAATGGATGCATAATAAGTTCAAAATCCAGCAGGAAATTGCAATGTTGGCAGGTTTATGTACTGTCGCTTGTACGATAATTTCCGCATGCAAAATTCGTTGATACCTGACGGAGAGTTAATTTATTTTATAGGCTATAACCGAATTAATAACGGGCAGCGAACTCAATGATCCGAAATTCGGTTTCCGCCGCAAAACGAGCATGTAAATATCCGTACATGTACGTACATAATGGCCGGTGGAATTAGGCCATTCCACACAAACATGTATTGTAGAGGCCCAGTTTTTCACAGACAGGGATAGTCGTATAGGTTTTTTGCTAACTATGTACCTACTTAGGTTCAAATTTCAGGAATTAAAGCCAATAATGACACATTGACTAACGTCGTTGTTTCCAATTTGCATTTTGTTAGGTACTTAATAAATAAAAGCTTGTAATTAGAGAGCGTCGTGCTACTATCAGGGTTGCCAGATATCAGCTAACTCAATTCGCCTAATTTTTCCTACCGAGTAGCCTAAATCGCCTAATATTTTTTTTTTCCTGAAGTAGCCTAATTCGCCTAACATTTTGAGGTAAGTATACAAAAATACATATCAAATCAACACATTAATGACAAACAGCTGTTTATCTCTTTCTAACTTACCCATGGTGACGTATGAAAAAAGAGATAGATAATGTTTGGTTAGCCTACTCAACTACTCTGGCAACATTTTTGTGACGTCACTAACTACCTGACTTGTGCCGAGTACATACAATAATTATTGTAGGTATTTAAGAAATCAACATGGCCGCAATATAGGCAATCAGCTGACAACTACACAACACACGCACACACACGCACACACACACACACACACACACACACACACACACACACACAA